CCCACTCCTCATTGTTACCAGAACTGATTGCAGCTTTTCGTCTTTCTTTGGCTTCCCATTTGTTATAAACTGATTTGTTTTGTTTGTTTTTTCTCACTCTACATCATCATTACAGCTTGCTACCTTTTGCTTTTGGCTTCCTTAGCTTTTAGAAAAAATGTTTCCACGGTTTGTAATAGCGATGCATTGTCTGTCGTCAGAATGTGGCCTTCCCACTGTGCACTGGGTGATGTCCCTTTATGCCGGCGGAAATCAGCTTTAGGTGGGTGGTTGGTGGGCGCTCTGTTGCAGTTTGCTCCTTGTTTTTTATCAAACACCTATCATCCTCATCTCTTCCTCTTCTTTGCTTTGTGTGTTACTTTCTAGTAATTCTTCTAATGTTTCTGCTCTTTTATGAACCCATTTTTGTTGCAAGTGCTGTAAAATTTGTAGTTAATCTAAAAACAAATGTTTTAAAGTCGGCTATCTTTGGGTTTTATCTCTGCTTTCACTTAGAAAAGAGGAAGCAATTTATTTTTCATCACTCTCCGTAATATTATGTTGGTGAAACTTTACACTCACTCTGGGGAACAGGGGTCTTTTTTTTAGCATCTTCCAGGAAGCTGAGAATGTTTTCTGATTGTTCAAGGGTCTGATGGCGTAGTAATTGTTGGAAAGTGCACAGAGCGTGCTGAAGTGCATGGACATGCATTATATAAATGCAATAATTATTATTATTTGTATTATTATTATTATTTTATTTCACTTTTTTAAGATGGACTTGGCTTCTTCTGAACTTGGTTTTCATTTTGTGACCGATGTAGTTGGTTGTTCACTTGCTTGAAATGATTGGGATTTTCTACAGGGACTTTTGTCAATTGACGGCTGGTGCCCTGCTGGGTTGTTTTTCTCAAATTGGACTCATTTGATTTTTACTTGATTATTATGATAAGGATTTTTATAGACACTGTTGTAAGCTGAGGGCTAGCACCCTGATTAGGTATAGATATGGACTAAGCCTGTTTTCCACTAGACCCTTTCATCTATATAATGAGAAGGAGGGGAAGGGGAGGGTGGGTGGGTGGGTGGGTGGGACAGCCAACAGATGGGTAAACTTATCAAAACCTGTTGGGAGTTAATTTTGGTTGTTGTTGGGGGGTTTTTGGGGGGAGGGGCTTAGCACTGGTTTTATTACAAGACATTTTGAAAGTTATTTTCGAACAGTGGGTTCAAAAACGTTTATACATTTATTATGCGCACACACATGAATATATAGGAAGGAAGATGTTTTTGTCATCATGGGGAAGGGAACCTATCTGGTGACTCGCTAGGTGGGTCGAGTAGGTAGGTGTGTGTGTGTGTGTGTGTGTTCATTAACTCTTTCAGGCACATGTATTTCATCACTAAAATGTTATATATATCAACTGATGCTGCGGGTTTCTATATAGACATATATTCAGGGAGAGTTGGCTTCAACCCTCTTGACAGTAGCATACTCATTATATGCACTATAAAAATAGACGCTTGCCTCACACCGATCGCCCAACTCGCAGCCTTGGAAACAAATACTACTTCCCTCCCTTCTGATCCTGACTTCCTTAATATGCTCAAAAGGAGAGATATTGTCGGTGGGTGTGGAATGAAAGAAGGTGTAAGGGTCGGTCCGACTTTCTTGATAGGTTCAAAAGAAGTGATGTCATCCGTACGTTTGGAATGAAAGAAGGTGTAAGGGTCGGTCTGACTTTTTTGATATGTTCGAAAGAAGTGATGTCATCCGTACATTTGGAATGAAGGAAGGTGTAAGGGTCGGTTTGACTTTCTTGATATGTTCAAAAGAAGTGATGTCATCCGTGCGTTTGGAAAGAAAGAAGGTGTAAGGGTCGGTCTGACTTTCTTGATATGTTCAAAAGAAGTGATGTCATCCGTACATTTGGAATGAAAGAAGGTGTAAGGGTCGGTCTGACTTTCTTGATATGTTCAAAAGAAGTGATGTCATCCGTACATTTGGAATGAAAGAAGGTGTAAGGGTCGGTTTGACTTTCTTGATATGTTCAAAAGAAGTGATGTCATCTGTACGTTTGGAATGAAAGAAGGTGTAAGGGTCGGTCTGACTATCTTGGCACGCATGAAACAAACATAGAGCATAATTACAGCAGTATTATTGATGTAGATTCCTCTTGATACATATCTGCACATATGAGTGTTATGAGATAGACATAAGCACAGATTCACACAAGCACTTAGGTAGACAAAGTAGAAAATTAGACAGAGTCCATATATTGCGTGTTGTGAGATGTTTGTATTAAGGCGCATTGAGACCAGAGACCCATGTCCGTCCATTCGTCCTTTCGTGTAGTGGACGGTAGCTGACAGCGGACCTTGTGTTCATACCACACCACGTGTTTCTTCATTAAAGTGCTTTTTTTTTCATTTTGGGCAAATTGAGGTCACATCACATGACTAGTCTATTTTTGTATGTTGTGGGGAATTGCGGAAATACTTATCAAATTCTATTATTATGTTTGGTATGTTTTCACTTCAAATTCAGCCAGAAGTACAAATATTATGATATCAGGTTTATCCATTTCAACAAAAAATGTGTTCAAAAACATTAGCTTGGCTGAACTTGACGGAACTGTAAAGTCAACTAGGCAGACTCCATCCCATTAATTTTCCTCTACAGTAGGACACTTGGCTTCAACCGGGACACTAGCTGGTGAGATAGGAGAATTAAATTAATCCATGGGTGATCCTTGGTCTGAATGCGCAGTCATCCTTTGGGAATCTCATTTTGTAACCCATCAAAAATTTGGCGACCATCGTTGTGTATTTGTTTGTTTGTGTTGTTTCTGCACATGGTTCTCTGGTTTTGAAATTCAGAAATGTACCTGAGGAATGGGGAGGGGGGGAGAAATCTTGCCACTGCTATGTTTGAAATGTCACCATCGCAATAATTGTATTTCTGAGATGTTATATTGATAATGTTGATGATAATAATTGCATTTCTATAGCACATATCCACCGCACTCCACAGCATGCTGTATGCGCTTCACAACTTTTGATGTTGATGAGGTGGAATGTATTTGTAGTAGATCACTTTTAGCTGGGTGTTGAAGAAAGATGAAATTTATACTTATATGTTGCGTTGGCAGCCTAATGGACCCGTAATCATGATCGAGGTTGCGGGTTCGAGGGTTCGAGCCTCAGCTCAGTCCGACGTTGTGTCCTTGGGAAAGCACTTTATAAACGAATGTTCTATTTGGCTCGGTCCTTTCGGAGATGGATGTTATAAACTCAGAGGTCCTGCCTCTTAGATAACCTGATAGTGTTGAGAGGGGCGTTAAACTTATACCTTTTCTCCATTTGTACTGCTATGTATGCTCGATTGTGTTGGCAAGATATCTTTGTTTTCTGTTTTGCATTAGATCACTTTTAGGTGAGTGTTGAAGAAAGATGTTGTTGTTGTTATCGATCCAGCAACAGCTGGGCTCTCGCCCTTCTGTCCAATGCCATGTAGATTGAAGAAAGATAAGCTGAGGCCGTAAGCTTTTGTGTCTTTCTCTCCCTGTTGAGAGAAACATCAGGAAAGATCCCCCAGTCCTTGCTCCAGGTGTTTTATGCACACGATCCAGATGCCCTTACTGCCATAGCCTCCCCGTGCCCCCCCCCCCCCCCCCCCCCCAAATGTCGGCCGGGACACCTCGGTCATTGATTGTGTCTTATAAAGAGTGTATTCAGTGATACTAAAATCATAAACTGTGGGTTTATTTAGGGTGTATTCACTGACTCATCAGTGATCAACTGTGTGTTTAGAAGGAGTGTGTTTACTGACACTTCAGTCTTCGACTGTGTCTTCATAAGGAGTATATTCAGTGACTTTTTAGTCTTAGGCTTCAACTGTGTATTCACTGTAACCTCAGTGTTTGACTGTGTCTTCATAAGAAGTATATTCAGTGACACTTTAGTCTTAGGCTTCGACTGTGTGTTTATCAGGAGTGCATTCACTGTAACCTCAGTGTTCTACTGTGTGTTTGTAAGGAGCGTATTCAGTGACCGTTCAGTTTTTGACTGTGTGTTTATCAGGAGTGCTTTCACTGTAACCTCAATGTTCTACTATGTGTTTATAAGGAGCATATTCAGTGACCGTTCAGCTTTCGACTGTGTGTTTATCAGGAGCGTATTCGGTGACCGTTCAGTTTTTGACTGTGTACTTATTAGGAGCGTATTCAGTGACCGTTCAGTTTTTGACTGTGTGTTTATCAGGAGTGTATTCACCAATACTTCAGTCTTTGACTGTGTCTTTGTTTGCAGTATATTCAGTAGCGCCTCAGTCATTGACTGTGTGTTTATAAGGGGTGTATTCAGTGACACTTTAGTCTTCGACCGTGTCTTTATTTGCTGTGTATTCTGTGACTTCAATCATCGACTGTGAACTCCTTTCCCCTCGTGTTCCTCTCCCTAGACATAGCCAAGCTGGGTACTTGCCTGTTGTGTCAGTCATTTCAAATGCTACGTTTCCAAATTTTACCCGCTTTCTTTTTTTTTTTTTTGCACTTTTGCACAAATCCCAAGTTTTTTTAAAAACTTGTATGACTTTTAATCCTGCTTCAGTGATATGCCGTCACTTTCTTCTATCCGGAAATCTAAGCACATTCGATATTGTCCAAGACAGCAGCGTGTTGTCGAGGAGGAAAGAGATTGTTTTAGACTGAGGGACGTCTTGGGAAGCGTTATTAGATCTATG